GAATGCATGCAAAAAGTTACTGGACTTTATTGACCGATATGATGAAAAGTTATTATTTATGTTGGTTTGTATTGTTTTTTTTTCATCTGTTTATGGTGTATAACAAAGTGAGAAAAATGTAGACGGAATTATATGAAAAAAAGATTATTAGATAAGGCTTATACTCAGCTTTTTTTAATAACGGCAATTAATGAATAAATTAATGAATAAATCAATAGATGAATAAGCAAATAAACAAAATACAGGTTACTTCAGAAATAATAAAGGATGCACCATTTTCGTCGATAGAAATCGTTCAAAGAAATGATGAAATAAGCAAGAAACAAAAATATTTAAGAGTTCCGAAAACCAATTGATATTTCGTGGAACTACAATTGTCCCAGACACATTTTGTACCATTAATAATATGCATAAGGAAAGGTCATTGCACTGAGTTCATGCAAGGTTAAAAGTATCATTCCCCCTTTAAAAAGAAAAAAGAAAAAATCCATTTTACATTATAATTCAACTCTTCTCTATTTTCCCCTCCGTAAAATTCTAAAATAGTCACGAAAGGAAATGACATAAATGATAAAAGAGGGAAATAAACAACGAAACACGATGTAAATGGGAACAGGGATGCAGGTTCAGATACGCCCTTTTTCGGTGTGTATGTGTGTGTTTGCGTGTGTGTGTGCATGTGTGTGTGTGTAAGTGTTCCTATCATGCACACTCAAGGTCAAACGCTTATCGGTAGCCTTGTCTTCTTCCTCTCTTTCTCCCCGTCTCTCTGTTTTGAATGTTTGTCTGTCTCTCTCTCTCTCTCTCTCTCTCTCTCTCTCTCTCTCTCTCTCTCTCTCTCTCTCTCTCTTCTCTCTCTCTCTCTCTCTCTCTCTCTCTCTCTCTTCTCTCCCTCTCCCTCTCCCTCTCTCTCTCTCTCTCTCCCTCTTTCTCTCCGTCCTTCCCTGATAGATAGAAGTGTACGTACTTAGGGAGGGTCCCTCTCTCCTTCCTCCTTCCCTCCCTTCCTTCCTATCTCCTTCCTTCCCTCCCTTCCTCCTGTCTTCCCTCCCTCCTCTCTTCCTTTCTCCCTTCCACCCTCCTTCCTTTCTTCCCCCTCCTTCTTTCTCTTCCCTCCCTCCCTCCTCCTTTCCTTCCTTTCTTCCCTCCCTCCTTCCTCTCTTCCCTCCTCCTCCCTTCCTTCTTCCCACCCTCCGTTCCTCCTTCTTCTTTTCTTCCCTCCCTCCTCCCTTCCTTCCTTCCCACCCTCCGTTCCTCCCTTCCTTCTTTTCTTCCCTCCCTCCTCCCTTCCTTTTCCCATCCTCCCTTCCTCCCTTTTTTCTCTCTCCTCCTCCCTTCCTCTCTTCCCTCTCTCCTCCCTCCCCTCCTTCCCCTCCCACCACCCTAATTTTCGTTATATCCCACCTTGTCGATCGCTTTTCCAAACAATATATTCCTTTATTCATCTTGACCTCAACCAAGGTCAAGATCTCTAGAACAAGAATGCCAAGCATGCCACCGTGGCACTATAGCGTGACCCCCACCCCTTTCCCTCTCTCCCTCCTCTCCCTGTTCAATAATTCATTACTTACGTGAGTACCAACCGTATACTATATATTCCTTTGATGATATATCTTTATAATGGTATAATGCTTATGATTCTGGGTTTATTTTTTCTAGACTGCTTTCGGGTGAATGGTGAGGTGACAGTGATAATGATGTAGACTTTTTAGGTAATGTGTATTAGGTGTGATGCATGATGGATGGTGAATGGTGAATGGGTTTTGGATGATGTGCTTTCGTATTTGGAGCGGGTGAGTTGGCGATTCGTTTTGATATGAAATAGGGGTTGGTTTACTTTCGTTTGATAAGATTTACTGAAGTGGGATAGATACATGTAAAAGTAAAAAGTAAGGAAAAGAAAAAAAAATACATGGCTGCACAAACATACATACACACACGCGCGCGCGCACACACACACACACGCGCACACACACACACACACACACACACACCACACACACACACAACACACACAACACACACACAACACACAACACGCACACACACACACACACACATACATACATACATTCACCCTCACATGGGAATTGGTCTGTCAATAATCAGATTAGGTCAGTCACCCCTAAGGACGCGTGACTCAATCCCATTTTTTATGATCGTTATTTAGACGAGGGACAGGGGAGGCGGGTGAGAGGGGGGGGGGGTATTCAGACACCCTACCCCTTTCCGTCTATTTTTTTGTAAAGGAAATATAAAAAGATATGTTTTTGGTCATATATGGGATGTTCTGTTATGGTTTTATCAGGGAATAGAAATACCAAGGGTTGTTGCGGCAAGTACTTTAGTGAAGGTTTTGCACTTCCAAATGGCCTATGGTTGCCTTACAATTTTTCATTTTTTTTATTTGTTTTTTTGTTTTTTCTTTTGCGCTTTCTGTCGACTTGCTGGATTTCAGGTAGATAAACAGGGAGATAGAATGATAGATAGATGGCTTGGTAGATTTATAAATAGAGATGTGTATATAGACAGGTAGATAGACGTGTATGTACATATGGATACATAGATATAGATGTAGATATAGATAAAAAGAGACACAAACAGGCAGGAAAACAGACAGAGAAAATGAATATTGTTCTCACTTTGATATATACGCTACCCCCCCCTCCCTCCTTCCTCGCCCCAAAAAAGGAGTGGGAGAAAAAAAATCAATAAACTGGTGTGATTGCAGATTAGTTGCCTTTCCCACTAACAAAATCATCATGACACTACTCACCGCTTTCAAAGTT